GAGAGTCTGTGTCAGAGAACCTTCCTGTCTATTCCTTTAGGTTTCCCTGTTATGGTTGGCTGAATGTACAACTCAGATCCTCAGGGAAATGGAAAAGATGGTTATCGATTATTTGTTGAATGAGTAAATGAATGATGAGGGGAATAGCTGTGAGGATGTATTGTTTATTGTGAGGGTCATGGAAGACTATGGGTGGAGCAACTGATAATTTGGAATGGAAGAAAGTAGTCCCATTATTATAATTATTACTACTATTATTCGTTGTTATTATCTGTGCCACTATTGATTGAGCACCTACATTGTGCCAGGTACTGTACTCAGCCCATTCATGTTTTAGCTTTAGTCTTCACAAAAACCTTGCAATGTAGGTATTCAGATTTTCTTTTTTTACTGATAAGGGTCAGAGAGAGTATTTCACCCATTGTTACACAAACTAGTGAATGGAAGTCCTGATTTAAACCCCGTTAAACTTTTAAGTTTATATCTTTTTCATGAAGAGGGTGATTTAATTGGGCATAGACTAGTAGGAAACTAGTCTCCTCTTTACACCAGCTTCAGCCCCTTGTAGTGCTGAATCCCATAGCCCACACTAGAAGCCACAAACACGTGTTTGGAAATAGGGTGTTTATACTGGTTAGGTCTGAATCAGAGCAAGGTCTGTGATTTGAGTTTCCCAAAGATACTCATGGTAGTAAATTTCTGTAATCTGGGACTTAAGGCAGTCTATGTTTTTTATGGCTTTACCAGTGAATTTCAGCATCATGAGCAATATTATTTCTGTAGAAAAATATGTTTCAGAGGTAAAATCCACCAAAGTCCAATTGGAAATAGCCTATAATTCTTACTTTGAAAAATTTATTTGTTGAAATCAGACAACTATTAGTCATAGGTAGTATAAACTGATTTGACAGTATATCCTGACTAGATAAAAACCCACTGCCATAAAGTTACTTCTGACTCACAGTGACCCTATAGGACAGAAGAGAACTGTCCCATAGGGTTTCCAAGGCTGTACATCTTTACTGAAGCAGACTGCCTCATC